CTCATTCCTCCTCCTCTCCAAAGTCTCTGAGCTGCGTCCTTGGGTGAATGCTGCCCTTTCCCTCTTGAATGTCCATTGCTCTAACAGAGATGGGAGTTCTTTTCAGACCTGAAGGATGACTAAGGACCATAGTCTTGGGGGTCTCACCTGCCTCTGTGTGACGAGTAAGCCTGGTCTCTTTTATGATTTGCGGTCTTGTTCCAGTTTTCCCCACTCTACTGTGACCTTTTCAGAGAAGGTGCTTGTGGCGGCTGGGCACCGTCTGGTTCTTCTGTTCTCAGGGAGGCTGGCGCTTGTGTGGGACATTCGTCCATTGGACTTGCTTCCGCGTGTCTTTCAGCTGTCATCGCTTCTGTGCTCAGGAAGAGACCAATCGTTGCACTAACGTGGCTGTGCACAAGGCTTCACGGCCCCAGCAGGGTGTGGAACATCATCTCTGTTAGGCCAATTCATCTTGGTGTTCCCGAGATGCTAATCCTGATGCCCTTCTTCTGCCTTTTTTTTTTGTAACTCAGTTTATTGGTTGTTTTTAGATCAGTACAGAGATATTATGAACAATTTGTACGCAATTCCTAATGCTTGTACCAAAATTCTAAAATGGCATGTAAATACAATTCTTTTCTAAATTCCAGTGACTTTCCAGCTTTAAATTTGGATGCAATTTTTAAAGAGATTATCAAATGTTGATAACTTATCTTCAAATGTTGATAAGCTGTTAAATCTTAAGTCCCAATAATTCACAATTTAATGTCAGACAAACTACACACTCAAATGTTCAGCCTCTCACAGCACATAACAAAGGAATCAGGAAAAATGGACTACCACGACCAATGGTGTGACAGAATGCACACAGTTCTGACATGAAAGCCATGACAACAGAATGATTTTCAGACGCAATTGTACTTAAAAAACATGGAAACAAAATTCTAAATCTTCAAGTCATACAAATGCATGACAGTGACTCCAAATTGCATTAAGTCCATTTTGTATTATGGATACAAGCCTCCCCACGGAATGTTATGTTGACACCAAAGACAGTCAAATCTCCCCACAATTCAACATGCACTATTTTTTTAAATCAATTTATTGGGGCTCATACAATTCATCACAATACATAGATCAATTGTGTAAAGCACACCTATGCATTTGGTGCCCTCATTATTCCCAAAATTCGCTTTCCTCTTGGGTTCCCGGAATCAGCTCATTTTCCTTTTTTCCCCTTCACCCCAAGAACCCTTAATAATTTATAAATTATTATATCTTATATTACACTGCCCGGCATCTCCCTTCACTCACCCCTCTGCTGCCCGTCCCCCAGAGAGGAGGTTATATGTAGATCCCTGTGATCAAGTCCCCCTTTCTACACCCCCCTTCCCTCCTGGTATCGCCACTGTCACCCCTGGTCCTGAGGAGTTCATCTGTCCTAGATTCCCTGCGTTTCCAATTCCCATCTGTACCGCTGTGCATCCTCTGGTCTAACCAGGTCTGCAAGGCAGAATTGGGGTCCTGGTAGTTGGGGGGAGGAGAACATGCACTATTTTGTGGCTGTACCAAAAAATAAACAATCAGTAAATGATTTCAGGTCTTAAAAAAAAGTATTTACACTTAAAAAATGGGATGAAGTGGGATTTCCTCCTTCTTAAAGGTGTTTGTAGAACTACTGAAAAACTCCCATTTACAAAATAATTGATTAAAAATGTTCCTCTGAATTGTACAAGAAGGGAGCTAACGAGCCCACTGATTAGACAAGCACTCATCAGACTTGGCTTCGTCTCCTCCTGGTTCGTCAGCGGCTGGGCTCTCCTCGCCTTGATTCTCCAACTCGGCACGGCCATCTGCTTTAGTTCTTGGTGAGCGACTTCAGCCTCTGCCCTTTGCGCCTCTTTTCTCTCGTGTCCCATCTTCTCTTGGGGTGCTCCTTCACCGCCCCTTTGGCTGAGCTGACCTTCCTTTTGGGGCTCTTGGCTGCGGGGAGGGTGCTTGCTTGATGCCTGTGCACCTCAGGGCACTGAGAACGTCCTTGAAGCTGGGTGGGTTACCTGGTAGCCGCCGCTCTGCCCACTGTCTGAGCTGCCAGGATGTGCAGCGGGGCCTCTTTTCTTCTTCCCGTGCTGCCCAATATTTTGCCCGTAGGCTCCTTCAACACTGCAGCTCAAATCTGGATTTTCCCCTCCTTCATTTCTTTCAGCTTGATAAATGCTGAGCGTCTCCTGCCCTTTTGCCAGCCCCAAAGGGGCCCCCCTCCCCCAACTTTATTATTTTTCTCTTCAGCGCGTTCGCTGCGTCATTTCTTCTATTAGCTCCAACTACTCAGTGCTCGGAAGTACTTTTTTTTTCTCATTTGATGCGTGTTTATTTATTTTTTCTTTTTTTAAATCATTAGGGGCTCATACAACTCTTATCACAATCCACAAACACATCAATTGTGTAAAGCACATTTGTACATTCATTGCCCTCATCATTCTCAAAACATTTGCTCTCCACTTAAGCCCCTGGCATCAGGTCCTCATTTTTTCCCCTCCCTTCCTGCTCCCCCCTCCCTCAGCCCTTGATAATTTATAAATTATTTTGTCATATCTTGCCCTGTTTGACGTCTCCCTTCACCCACTTTTCTGATGTCCGTCCCCCAGGGAGGAGGTCACATATAGACCCTTGTAATCAGTTCCCCCTTTCCAACCCACCCAACCTCTACGCTCCCAGTATCGCCACTCACACCACTGGTCCTGAAGGATCATCCGCCCTGGATTCCCCTTCTCTGTGTTTCCAGTTCCCATCTGTACCAGTGTACATCCTGTGGTCTAGCCAGACTTGGAAAGTGGAAATCAGATCGTGATAGTGAGGGGGCAGGAAGCATTTAGCAACTAGAGGAAAGTTGTATTTTTCATCGTTGCTAATCGCAAACTGATTGGCTTGTCTCCTCCCCAAGCCCCCTCTGCAAGGGGATCTCCAGTGGCCTACAAATGGGCTTTGGATCTCCACTCCGCACTCTCCTCCTCATTCACTATGGTAAGATTTTTTGTTCTGATGATGCCTGATAACTGATCCCTTCGACACCTCGTGATCGCACAGGCTGGTGTGCTTCTTCCATGTGGGCTTTGTTGCTTTTAAGCTAGATGGCCGCTTGTTTACCTTCAAGCCTTTAAGACCCCAGATGCTATACTTTCTGATAGCCGGGCACCATCAGCTTTCTTCACATTTGCTTATTTACCTGCTTTGTCTTCAGCGGTTGTGTGGGGAAGGTGAGCATCATAGAATGCTAATTTAATAGAAGAAAGTATTCTTGCATTGAGGGAGTACTTGTGAGTGGAGGCCCAATGTCCTTCTGCTACCTTAATACTAAACCTATAAATATAGGCACATAGATTTATTTCCCCATCCTCATATATAAATATATTTGCATATGTACATGTCTTTATCTAGACCTCTATAAATGCCCTTTGCCTCCCAGCTCTTTCCTCTATTTCCCTTGACTTTCCTCCTGTCCCACTATCATGCTCAGTCCCCACCAGGGTTTGAGCAATTCCTCTTGGTTACATTACCCTTGATCATGCCCTACCAGACCTCCCACACCCACCTCACCACCAATTTGGATCACTTATGTTCCCTTGTCCCTGGGTTTGTTACCACCTTCCTTTCCCCCCACTCCCCCTCTCCCATGTCCCCCCGGAACTGTCGGTCCCATTGTTTTCTCCTCCAGATTGCTCATCCAGCCTGCCCTATCCAGACCGACTTGTGGAAGGACTTCTCAGGTCTCTGTTGGCTTCCATTTGGTCTTTTCTTTGCTTCCTGTTTGTTTGTTTTTAATGATTTGCTCTTTTCATGGAGGATGTCCTTCATATCACTCCACAACTTGCCCGGTCTTAGTCACTGCTGTTCAATGTGCCAGCACTCTCCTCCAGCCGGTCTCTAAACTCAAGGTTGTACTTTGGCTCCCATGCACCTGTTTTGATTTTCTTCGGCTTCAACTTGAGCTGGCATAGGAGCGGTTGATAGTCTGTTTTCAAGTCAGTACCTGACCTGGCTCTGACTTGAGTTTCTCCAGTATCCTTCAATCACTCCAAATATGAACGTTGGACAAGGAATAAATAAGGTAAAAGAAGGATTTATCCATTTGAACTTTGGTGTTGGTGAAGAACGAGCAAGCACAGCTGTCTGAGAAGAAGTCCTGCTAGAACACTTCTTAGCCCCAAGGGTACTGAGGCTTCAGCCCCCATCCTTAGGGAGTGTCCTGAGGAGACACCAGTCCCGGAGAAGGACATCATGCTGGGGAAAGGAGGGGAGCAGTAGATGAACACGGTGGCTGCAGCAGTGAGCTCAAAACAATTCTTAGGGTGTACAGGGCCGCGGAGGGTTTCCTTGCGTTCCACACAGGTTGTTGTCAGAGCTGACTCAATGTGCCTAACAGCAAGAATGACGTCGTCTCCAGCCACAATGCAGTCTGTGTGATTCCTGTGCAGTCCATCCAGTGAATGCTGACCAATGGTATTTGCCATGAGCATGGCACTGGCCTTGAAAAATTCTGTCATGACATCTCTGGTTTCCATTTTACCATCAAGCTCCTATTTTTTATCTACCGACTCTTATTTCCAACTTTCACATACTAATCACCAGTAATTATCAGTACAACCTATGCTCTGTGCCGCATGGTCAAACCATCACTTAAAAACCCCTTGGTTTCCAGTTAGACATTTCCTTGACCCTTCTCCTCTCCTGCCACCAGGCGATTTCCAAGTCCCCAGCCACACTCTCGTCCCTGTTTTACAGAAAACGCCACCCTAGTGACCCCACCTGGCCTCTCTGCTGAGCACTGCAATGCGTCCTTCGAGGAGAGCCGAGTCTTCCTGGTGGTGGTGTACAGCTCGGTCTGCGCCCTGGGCCTCCCTGCCAACTTCCTGACGGCCTGGCTGACGCTCATGCAGGCCCTGCAGGGGAACGTGCTGGCAGTCTACCTGTTCTGCCTGGCGCTCTGTGAGCTGCTCTACCTTAGTACCCTGCCTCTCTGGGTCTTCTACATCCAGAACAAGCACCACTGGACGCTGGGCCCGGCAGCCTGCAAGGTGACCGCTTACATCTTCTTCTGCAACATCTACATCAGCATCCTCTTCCTGTGCTGCGTCTCCTGTGACCGCTTCCTGGCGGTGGTGTACGCGCTCGAGTGCCGGGGCCACCGCCACCAGAAGACTGCCGTGCTCATCTCAGTGGCCGCCTTTTTGCTTGTGGGGCTGGTCCACTACCCGGTGTTTGACATGGCCGAGCAGGACACCTGCTTTGAGACGCTGCCAACCGACCTCACCATCGCCCGCTACCACTACTCCAGATTTGCCGTCGGCTTTGTCGTCCCACTCCTGGTCATCGCCTTCACCAACCACCGCATCGTCCAGAGCGCAGGGCAGAGTGAGGGCCTGAGTGCCGCCCAGAAGGCCAGGGTGAAGCGGGCGGCGCTCGCCATTGTCTTCCTCTTCCTGCTCTGCTTTGGGCCCTACCACCTGGTGCTCCTAGCCAAAGCCGCCGCCTACTCCTACCACCAAGGGGACCGGGAAGCCATCTGTGCCTTCGAGGTGAAGCTGTACACGGCGTCCGTGGTGTTCCTGTGCCTCTGCACCGTCAACAGTGTGGCTGACCCCATCATCTATGTGCTGGCCACGGAGCACTCCCGGCAGAAGGTGTCCCGGGTCCACAGGGAGTGGAAAGCCTGGTCCACAAAGACGGACCTCACCAAGCTCATGAGCCTCAAGGACTCTGAGGAGGCCAAGTCGCCCACTGCACCTGGGGGCTGTGATGAGTTTCCCAGGCCTGGCGATCTGCCCGTGAGCCCTGGTGGCACAGAAGCTAAGGAGCTCCACTGCTAACAGGAAGTCGGTGTTCAAACTCACCAGCTGCTCCTCGGGAAGGAAGTGAAGCCGCCTGAGTCTGTCACAGAGAGCCTCCCCATCCCCATGGGCTGCTCGCCTGCCCTGCAGGTCACTATGTGCTGCCATCAACTGGATGGCAGTGGATTGGGGCCCACCTACCAGCTCCCCCCAGAGCGGCTGAGCGAGGGTCCTGCGGAGCCTTAAGTGCCTGCAGAGAGGTCGGCGGGTCCAGGAATTGGGGGTCCCCCTCAACACACACACCAAGTCATCCTGCATGGTACCTGTGGAGATCTTTCTACAAGACCTGTACCTGGTTTCTTCTCTGTGAGCCTCTGCCTCTCCTGGCGGCCCCACAGCTCAGAAGTCCAGGATCCACCTGGAAGGAGGAGTCCAGCAAGGGGCAGTGGCCCAGCCAGGAGAGAGCTGGCAAGCCTGAGGGAGATCACAGGCCTCTCCTCCAAGTTCTGCCTGGTGGTTGTGCCCGAGAGTGATCAGCCAGCAGCCAGGGCTTTGGCAGAGGTCCCGGGGATGCCCAGCGCTGTGGGCAGCTGGAACCTGCCCGGAACAGACACGTGCTAGGCTGCTTCCTCTCTGTGGTTCTGTGCCAGCCTTGTGGAGGGCTGCATGCTGGGGGACATGCATGGTGCCCTTCCCTGGGGTTGGCTCTGCTGAGGACAGACACTACTGTGGACCCCTGAAGGGAGCTGGATGCCCCTCTTAGGAAGCCCTGATCTGGAACACTCGGGGAGGCGTCGGCCCCACTGGTGTGGGATTCCTTCACTTAGAGACACCCCAGCTTCATCGTTGGGAAGAAGCCAATGGGAACTGGATGAGTCAGAGCCAAGCAGAGACTTCTCCCCTCACTGCCCCCACAGCCTAGCCCAGCCCTTGTGGTCCTATGGAGTGAGCGCTGCCCAGAAACAGCCGAAACAGAGCCAGCACTGCATCGGGAGCCACTGGGCTGCCTGGGTTCCTCATCCACCCCTGCTCCCCACCTGCTATCTCCACCTCGTGCCTCAGCGGCCAGCCAGCAGTGGAAGGGAGAGGCGCTGGCCACCATCGCCCCCCAGGTCTTGTTCCCACAGTCCTTCCCCTAGGCCAGTGCCCTTGCACTGTTGGAGAAGTCAAGGACATACACTTGAGAAGCAAGGGCACAGGCGATGTGCTCGTCCCAGAGCCCTCTGAATGAGAAGCGGTGTGGTTTTGTCTTTCTATTGCAAGGTTCACCTCTGGTCTCTTGGTGGGCCAGCCCTGAGGGGCTGTGTCCTTGCGGCTGCCACGGGACATGCATGTTTTGGGGCTTGACAAGGTGTGGGCTGGGGTCCTGGAGACAGTCTGGAACATCCAAGCAGGAAGAGGCGGCACCGTGCTCCCATGGCATCTGAGTCCCCCGTAGCTGCTATGGCATTCCACAAACCAGGGGCCAACAGACCCCCGGCTCATCCTCTGGTGGGTTTGGAGCCCAGAAGTGAAGGTGCCAGCAGGCTGGATCCTTCTGATGTCCAACAGGCCAGTCTGTGCCCACCTGCCTGCTGGCAGCTGCCTGCAAACCCGGTGCGGCCACACCTCTGCCTGCATCTGTCTCTGTGTCCTCTCCCTTCGGCCTTATACAGGGACATTCTCCATTGGACTAGGAGCCCACAGCCTGTAGCCCAGGTTGGCCTGCTCACACCTGCACTGGGCCTGCATGCACTGCCTCAGGCGTGAAGGCATGGGTTTGTCTCTCTGGGGATAGACTGTTCAGTCCCGCGAGGGACTTCCAAAAATTCACTAGAAATTCCCATGATCTTTTCATTTCATGTTTCCCCAAATTCTGTGGCCCTGAGGATGAAGCAAAGTTATGTCCCCACACCCAGTGAGGAAGGAGAGCAATCAAGACATAGTAATCGTCACTTAATGAGATCTCTTCCAGTCTAAGTGAACCATGGGGAAAATCTTGCTTGGTTCTTGCTGGATCCTGCCTCTGGCTCACCAATTGACCTCCAGTTCTTTGACATGTTGCCTGCCAGACCCGGAGTCAGCAGCCTGCCTTCTTATCTGCTGACCTTGCATTCATTCGCTTCTGCAGCCAGTAGCCTGCTAGCTGACCTGTGGATCTTGCATTCATCAGCCCTTGCAGCTACAGGAGTGAGAAGCCTCTGTCCTGACAGTCCATAGTGTCCATGGACTTGGAACTTGCCTGCCTCAACAACCGTATAAGCCATTACCTTTATGTAAACCTCTTTCCATATATAAGCGTCACTGGCTTTAGGGAAGCCAGTCTATGACATCCACTTTAACACTAGGCCTGCCTCAGAGTGACATCCTAGCAAGAGAGTCGGGTTCATAGCCTCGTGCTGAGCTTAGTGGTCCTCAAGGAGGATGAGGCGCCCGCTGTTCCCAGGAAGGTCGCTAGAGGGTGCGTCCTGGCTGGGGGTGGGGAGTGCTGCCCAGCACGCTGGTCATCCCGCGGCCACTAGGGGGCAGTGCGCCCCAAAGCTGTGTCCGTGGAGCCACACCCCAGCCGGTGGCCCTTGGTGAGAGGGCCTGGACCAGGCGGCAGAACCCTTTGCTCACAAGCATCCCGCGGGGACACTGAGCACAACCAGGCACCAAGCCCGGCAGGCCCCGTGCCTACAGGTGGCCCATACAGAGGGCAGCGGCCCCTAGGAGACACTAGCGGGCCCTGGGCAGATCCCAGAGGCTGCTGGCGGGGGCGTGACGCGTCGGCATCAGGGCTGGAATCCCGGCACAGCTCAGGGCCCAGCCTGGACCTCAGGAGGGATGGGCGCACACCAGTGGACAAGGGCTCTGTTGGCACCCAGGTCGGAGCAGCCCCAGGTGCCTGACAGCAGGCATAACAAACACTGATGGGGTCATCAAGAGGGCGACCGCCGAGCAGCCCTCCTAGCAGGCTCAAGACCAAACTCACTGAAACGACCTGCCCAGTACCTCCCTGCCCTGCTTCGAAGTCCATGGGGGCTCTGAGGGACCCCAGCAGGCTTCCTGAGCACAGGGGCCACTGCTACCATCTGCCAGCTAACCCTGCATTATTCAGCCCAAATGTGCAAACTGCTGAGCAAACTTTTTTCCTGTCCCACAGCCAGCCCATAAAGGGGAGCCAGCTTCCAGACTGCGCTTGTTCCCATGCCAACCTAATTCAAACAGGTCCAGACCCTTGACCCTCTTCCTGCCCACCACAGCCCCAAATCCCATAGGGGCAATAGATCTGTCCCCTTACTCGTCTTACAATGCTTGCTGTTTGGCTAAGAGTTCTCTGAAGTTAGCAAGTGTTTGTGAGGCTGTCTGCCACGGTACAGACTGAGAGACCCTATTGGACAGCTCCCTCTGTCCTCTAAGATGGCCAAGTCAAAATGGACTCCTCTCACTGGGTTTGGGGTAGCAGCTTGTGGGGAGGCCAAGAAGCCCCTCGGAGGTGGGGGTTCCCTTCCCCCATGTACCTGTGTTCAGACGCTTGTATCTGAGTGAGTACAGACCTGCGATTGCTGCAGTTCACAGCAGGGACTTCCGTGGCTTTGAGAAGGTTCTTACATCCTTCGGGTGAGTTACCTGCTTCGATCATTTCTCCAAGGAGCTCTGGACAGTGGTGGTGGGAAGACAGGCTCTGGGCCCACTGTCCCCACATGGCCCAGAGACCAGTGACCTTACACAGGGTTTCAGAGGCAGTGCAATAAGAATGTTTGCCCTTTCCACCTCCTTCCCCCAGGTCTATCCTCATAGACGATTCAGGTGTCTGAGAACGTCCTTCCTGGGCCCTCAACTCCTGGGCTAGTTCTCTCCCCTCCCTTCCCAGCGGCTGTCTGGATGGGACACAGGAGGTGACCCTTCACCCGTCCTTTCCTCAACGACCCCACATGTCCAACAGGGCGGGCAACCGCACCCAGTTCCTTGGTCACCTCCCTGGTCTTGAGTGAGCCTTGAAAGGACAGGTGGGAAGTTGCACGCTAATTCCATCTTCCGTGAAACTTTGGGAGCCTCCTTGGCATTGTGCTTGAAGGACCGGTTTCCAGATTCTGCGTCCGATTCGGGGCCTGTCAAGGAACATCGGTACATTGCAGCCCCCGCTCTCCCCGCCTCTTGCCCGCCCACTTCGGCCCCGGCCCCGCCGCACGACAGCCAGCACGCGGCGGCCCCGGACTCCAGGCGGGGAAACAACCGACTCAACGGCCGCCGCTGTCCGCGCGGGAAGAAGCGCCGCTTGGCTCCGCCCCGCGGGGTTTGAACCGGAGGCCCCGCCCGCCCCCATCCGGGTTTTGCCGAGAGGCCCCTCCCCGTCCGGGGTTTGAACCGGAGGCTCCGCCTTATCCGGAAATGGCCTGGAGGCCCCGCCCCAGTCCTGGTTTGAACCGATGGCTCCGTCTCCGGTCTCGACCAATCAGCGGGCGTGGGGC